TTAATTGCCACTAATTATATATAACATGATGCCTAAGCCTAGATTACAGTCTAGATTTTTAAATCATTGTGATGAAATTCCATCAAAACCTTTTTTGAATATTAAAATACTACTATTAATTATATATTTTATTAATAGAATAGAAGATCCCGTGAAGTGTGAGAGATCATTGGGACCTTGGTCAATCAAAGAGACAAAAGAAATGTGCTTTTGGTTGGATATATATATATATATATATATATATATATATATATATATATATACACGGCAAAAAATTATACTTTTTTAGTGCTACTGACTCAGTTACAATATAAATTCACGACTACTTTCTCAAATTAAGTGTGAATTAAACTCATAACTTTTAATTTGGGAGAATCGTTCCGTGCCACTAGACTACAAAGTCATTATCAGCAAAAAAATTATATAATTCCTCCTCTAATTTGCTTTAATTTTGGCACAAAACTCTCTCACCAAATTATATTAAAAAAAAAAAAATACTATTACTCCATGCTTCCCCTTTACGCCATTTTCCTCTTCACTTATCCATGTTATTAAGATATCAAGTACCGTAGTAGATGAGAAGTAGCAAACATCTACTATACAAAAGTATTGTTACTAAAATACATGAAATGTCCTAAACAATTATATTACATCCCTTAAACTAACACAAAATGTTCAACCCGGACACCTTCTCTTCTTCACTTGGCTCCTTCATCAACTACACACCAAACAAAACAACCATGAAAACTAGAATTCACGTACTCAACATTGGATAATATTTTATACAAAAAATATATATTTAAGAAGGGGTGGACCAGAAAATCATCTAAATGATGACGAAATTTAAATGATGTTAGAAATGTCAATGACAAAATATCAAACACCCATCATAAAGTTCAAATACAAAATACAATATAAATTACAATAGAATAATGTTTTTTATAGACTATATGATCGTTATGGAAGAAGTCAAAAATATACTTGAGTGTGGTGAAAATGTGAAATTTTAAACACTTTGAAATGCGATAAAAATATTTAGGACAAATTATGATACATAATCAATTAGATTAAATAATTTGAATAGAAAAGACATTAGATACTATATTTAAAGAGCAGTTGATCTTGACTAAATCAATGGCTGAGATTTATCTGTATTTTTCACATGGAAACTCCTTCACACACACATGCATACACGCACGCGCGTGCACACACACACACACATTTCTGATGAGAGCTAATAAATCAATGTTAGTCGTCCATCTGGCCAAGTCTAATGCTTCTAGAGCAATGAGGAAAAGAAATACGGTGACATTTTTATAAATAACCAAAATTTTAAGTACACTTTGTAACCCTATAGTATGTACTTGCAAAACTACTACATCTAATGTGCCAAGTCTGATCTAATGCTTCTAGAGCAATGAGGAAAAGAAATACGGTGACATTTTTATAAATAACCAAAACTTTAAGTACACTTTGTAACCCTATAGTATGTACTTACAAAACTACTACATCCAATGTTATATGAAAGTGCACTCCGTAGTGTTGTTAAATGTACTTTCAATGTTCATTGAAAAGTGCACTTGGCAACACGCCAACACCACAGAGTGCACTTTGCAAAGTTTAGATGGACAATTGAGATTGGTGCTAAGTTTTCTCTCCTTGATTTATATCCGTTAGATATCTTTTAGATGGACAATTGAGATTGGTGCTAAGTTTTCTCCTGAAAACAAGTTCTCCTAAGATCCTAATCTTTTATATACAAGAACAAAGTCTATAGGATTAGGATCATATGAGAACTTGTTATCAGGTGAAAATAAAGAACCAATTTCAGCCGTCTAATCTATCTAAAAAAATCTAATGGATGTAAAGCAATGAGGAAAAAATGCGGTGGCATTTTGTTAAATAACTTGAACTTTAACGTGCATTTTGCAACACTATAGAGTGTATTTCTCCTGGAGTGAAAGTGTAGTGTTCTTAGGGTTCACCTTTTAGAGTTTACGATTTAGTTTTTTTTTCGGTTTGCTTTAGGGTTTTGTTTTGAAATTTGATATATGGGTTCACTTTTTACTGTTTAGGGTTTAGTATTTATGGTTTAGCTTTAGGGTTTAGCTTTTAGACTTTATCAACGGATGTACTCTATATTATTACAAAGTACATCCTATAGTGTTGTAAAATATACTGTGTTATTGCTAAGTGCATTTTAAAGTTGAAGCTAATTATCAAAATACCACCATATATATTTTTTTTACTCTATTTTTTCTTCCCCTTGCTATATATAGACTCGTTAAATATGTCCCAGATGGATGACTATGAACAAATTCTCACATAAGTGTGCCATATATATATATATATATATATATATATATATATATATATATATATATATATATATATATATATGAAAGCATATAAGCATGTGGGACTAGGTAAAGATGAAGGGGCAAAGTTCATATTATTGTACGTATTTGCTTCCACGTACAATCTGTAATACTTTAGAAAGAGGCTCTAGATAAACTAATGTTTCAAGTTTTTGGAGGTACTTGTTAGGACATAAAAGAAATCAAGTGGATACAATATATATAATTGTTGTCATATACGCAAGAAACAAAACATAGGTCAAGACAAGTTAACTGTGATGTCCAAAAGAATCATAGTTCAAGTGGTTGGGTTATGTACATCATGTATACATATATATACAGATATTATTTTTTAAAGTTTTAGTTAAGTTACGGTATAAGTCGTGAAATGGATAACCTAATATGACATTTCCCCAAGGTGGAGGTTAGCTAGCTAGGAGTATAATATATATGGTCCACATGTATTTCATCCTTCTAAGAAACATGTTATTTGTATTTTTTTAAAATAAAATTTAGTAATTAAAAGATTCCAAGTTCGACTCTTAGTGGAAGTTACTTATTGATTTTATTAGTCGTTTAACCCGCTGGTCAGTTATGGACTACTTAAGTAAACTCTTGCTAGCTAGATAGGATCATAATACGGGGTTTACTTAGTACACACCCTTAGGTAGTGCATGGCTGCGGGTTAATTCTGTCACCCAAAAGCTTAGTGTACAATTTAATATTATTAAGCATGACAGAATCTTTTATATTCATTAATTACTCATAGATTGATTAACTCTATCACGGATTAATTAGATAAAATCGATCCCTTCAAGTAGTATAAATAATATTTGTGAAAAGGATTTAATAAACATAGCACTAGATACCACCCTTATTATATTTAATAGTTGAGTACAAATTAAAGTATTCTATAAGCAAGTTCTGATCTGGTGTTAGAGTATTAATTAATATCATTATATTTTGATGATTAAGGTATAATTTAATGATTTATATATTGGAAGCAATTAATTAAGGTAGGATCGGACTACAGAAATTGTCTTGTTGTCCTTGTCCATAACAAAATATATAATTGAATAGGTCCTAAGCAGAGCATATGATTGTATATATAATATTGTAATACGTTGGGTGTTTAAGTAAGAAGGACAACAATCAATTTAAATATTTAATACTCTTCCTATTTGGTAGGGGAAGGGTTTTTCCAACAGTCACATTATTGCAACAAAAGTCCAAACTACTACGATTCTAGGAATAATAAGCTTATATTACTAATAGTTAATGTCACTGTTCAGTTTACGGAATGAATTTTAAAGGAATACGAATCATATTTTATAGAGAAATGGAATGTGCAAAAAATATAATAAGAATTGTATTTAATTTCAATGATTGGTTTGAAAAAGAATAGAAATGAAACTAAGAACCAAACATATCCATCATATTGATCTACAAAAATCAAAGGCTCTAAAGTAAGAAAAAAAATATTGTGGTGTAATTTTGCAATTGCAAAGCACTCTTATAGAGTCACAGATTCAAAGTGCACTTGTACCTGTCAAAAAGTGCACTTGGTGTACAGTTGGTCTGCCTTCTTCTCCGGAGAAGGCAACCAAACAACACCGGCGACAGGTGTTTTTTGCCAGAATATGGTCGAAATCAAAATCTCGCTGTAGGTTTACCGGAATCTTAGTGACCTGTAATTATAGGTCACCAACAGATTTTTGAGCCTCAGTGCTCTAAAATCATAAGTTTAAGGGCTTAATTGCAACATTTGAAAGTCTAAGGGCCTAATTGACTTATTGAATAATTCCTTTCAAAAAAAAAAAGAATTAGTTCTAATCAAAATAACATTTATACATCATCTCATACACTTTGTTACATCGAATAACATTTCCATATGATGTTTTGCTTTTAAGAAAAAAAATGTATACAACTTGAACAGATCAGAATAATACTGATATTATGGGAGAAGAATATGAGTATTATTAGTGTTGTTATTGTATTATTATATATGTAAATGATGATGCTAATACATAGGACCCTGTCTCCTGAATTCCTTATTTTGTTAATCCTGCCGGCCTGAGAAAAATAAACCCAAAGTAGAAGTATGGCCCACAGTTTTGGCCTTAATTAAATTAGTAAATCTTTTTCTTGGACTTTCCCATGATACTATATTATTAGTAACACAATTCTTTCTTTTCTTTTGCAGGTGGATGGACGTTAGTGGATTCTTGTTCCACAAATTAACGTCCGACACAAAAGAATTTTAAGTAGCCAAACTAAAAGGGTATTGCATTACCACATTCAATAAACATTTAGGTTATGGTGTATCTACTCAGCAACCATTCATAGTACCACTTGAACAACTATGTAACAACTATAATAATATTATAAAAAATAAAACCCAAAATCGAAAACTTTATTAGATTCTCTCTGTCAATAATTCTTTGGACGGACTGTCTCTAAATTCTTTTGCAAGAATGTTTTTTTTTTTTAATAGTCTGACCATATTTCCTTATCGAGTCAAGACCCCAAACTTCAAGACTGATCTTGCTCGTACAGAATAGGATCTCAGGGGTAACAAAGACAATCCCGATACATTTAAAAACTCGAACCCAAAACCTCTGGTTAACCAAGGAATAGTGAAGCTGAAATGTAATAGCAATTCATAATTTAGTATAAATAATTTGAAATGCAATTATACAGCCACTTAATTTAAATCCCTACATGAATGTGAAAGCAGAAAAATCAGGTTTCAAGATTATGATACAGTGCTAGAGATGAACCACACTACATAAAAATGCTTGATATTCTGAACAATTCAAAACCTTCAAGATATATATAGAAAGAGAGAGGGAAAAAATGAACAAATAATACATGGTGGCTTTGCTACAGTAGAGGATCAAACAATCAATACCAGCTTCATTCTGTGCAAGATGCCAAGATGATGTTCCAAATCTATAAACCCCATTTTTAAGTCTTCTTATCGGATCCTTTGAGGTTAAGATTAAACCATTTTTTCTTTGACGATTTGTCTTTGGATTCGGGGGTTCCATCTTCCCCTGGGCTCTCAGCTTTAAAATCGTCGCCAAGAATTCTACTGCTACTTCCATTACTGAAATGCCCACTTCCACTACTCGTAGCAATAACGGTTGACCTTGCAACAGTGAACGCAGAATGGATAGTGTCTCGTTGTTTCAGCAATTCATCCACCTATTGCATGACATAATAGTTGCAATAGCAAAACAATGTCCAAGAATTTAAAAAAAAAAAAAAAAAAAAAAACCTCTTAATTGTGAGTAATTGAATCAGAGGTATGGGTGTTCTTATAAGATGGGAGGCATAAGATTAACAGCAAAATCGAAAAATCACCCTCGGGGAAGTTCCATAAGGGGTTATTTTAACAAAAGTGGTAAACTTACGGTCTGCTTCTCCTGGGTGTATCTGTTGGTCACTTCTTGGAACCGTGCCAATGCCTGCAAAAGGAATTCGAGGAAAAGATTCTCTAAGAATATATGCAGAGGTATTAAAGAACCTAGAGGGCATGATTAAGAAGAGGTGGACTACCTTTCTGTATTCTGTCTCAAATTGTCGAAGCTCATTTCTCTTCCTCAAAATCTGAGATTCGATATCCTGCAGCTTGCTTGTTGAGTCCTCGTATGTTTTGGCACAAAGAGCCTCAATTGTATATGAAGCAGGTTTGAAGAAGTTATCTCCTGCACATTCAGAAAAATTCAGTTCTACACACCGCTTTCATCCTCCTATAGTCGGGGTTGAAGTTAATATGGAGTCCCGGTAACCAACAGAAGGAAACAAAGAAAAAAAGCAACTCAGACCATAAACAGCGAATATGTGAGTGCCAGCTTTTAGATCTGAGACCTCACAAGGTTGAAGGCCTTCCAGCCTCTTAAAAAAAGCTGCATCGGGATCCTTGGCCATTGCTAACTAGAAAAGATACATATAGTTATTTTCACACCCTTGAAGTTGTTTTCGAACAATATCATATAGAAAGGAAAAAAAAAAAAAAAAATTGCATACCGCATTTACTGTTGAATCCATCCTATAAACCTGAAAATGCAAGAAATACATTCCTGCTGATGTCACCTTGCCAGTTTTTTCACTATCTTCCTGTGTTCATTGACAATGCATCAGGTTTGCCAAGTCCCAATATCAAGCCACCAAAAACAGGTTAGGTTAAATGAAGCATTGAAACATGCCTCATAAATCACTAGAAATGGACACTTATTCAAAGATCCATATTATTGAATGAGACAAATGAAAGAAATTATAAGCTATGTTTTCAAACTATGCTCAAGATTTGTTCAAGCAACTAACAAAATTCCAGACCTATATTCAACCTTAACCTTTACTGGTAATCTGGTATTACTTGTCTCTCAGAAACATGCTCCACAAATATACTATCAAACAAAAGACCTCCCTGGGTCACTTATAAGCAATTTGTTGAAAAATAAAGAGTTAGGTTTATCTATAAGGTTGTGTCTGTTTATGAATAGGTGTTAGTTATGGGTAGTTACTTATAGTTATGTGTTTGTATATATATATGTACTGTTTCTTTATTAGAAACACAGATAATACTAATATATTTCAATCTTATATACATTTTCTATTCTTTGATTCTTCATCATTGCTTCCGCCTAACTGGCGGGTGGTGTTATTCTGCACCCGCCAGGCCATTCCATCTTCCAAATTCAACACAATTAATAGTATGATGGGCATTACTGTAATCATTATATTAATGAATCATCATTAGTCATGATTACTAAGAATCTCCTTTGTGCTCAAATCAACAAATATATCAGTTATGACTTTGGGAAACATGAATGTAAATTTTGAAGGAAAAGATGATGCAGAATTTAAAAGAACAAAAATGGGAATTGGGCAAAAGTGGCAGAGCAGTTCATGCAGTATGAAGCTGGTAATAACCAGATTAATGCATAATTAGATATGTATTTGCAGTTCCACAAGAAACATAGCAACAGGACAAGGCTCATGGTGCACAACTGCACATATTATTTAGGTTCAGTCTTAGAAACTTTTTAGCTAACTTCTGTCCAATGAGTACGAAAGTGGGCAGTAGAATAACAGGAAAGAATGATATTAAGAGTGAGTGGAAGTAGAAGTTGAAAGTAGTTTGAGCAACTAAAAATGATTTGAGGGAAGGAGAAGATAAAGAGAAAGGCAGAGAACAAATAACACTTACCTCAGCCCAAGCTAAATAATAGGAAAAGACATACTAAGAGCAAGAGAGTAGAAGACTAGAAGCTGAAAGTAGTTTCAGTAATAACTATGAATGCTGTGAGGGAAGAAGAAGCTAAAGGGAAAGGAAGAGAACCAAATAACACTAATAGTACCCCATCATCAAAACAAACATCAATTTAAACTTTGTCAAGTGAAATTGCAAGCCATATTCATGGGACACAAAGCTAGATTGCATGATACTTCAAAGCTAATATACTTGGTGGTTATTTGGCTAGGGCATAATTGATAACTGGATTCAGTGTTTATTTAGTGCATTACTCTATCTGTCCTATTTTGTGTGCATTTCATTGGTCAAACCAACTCGTCATTTCTCTTTTCTTATTTTCTTTGACAATTTCTTATAATTTTTAAGTTTATTAAATAGAACTTTTAATTTATTTTTTAAATATATAAATTTTTATACACTAAAACAAAAAAATTATAAAAGATCAAATTGTAAATAGCTTGAGTCAAGATTGGTTATCTGGGGCAGAGGGAGTAACACTTAATAGATTGGCCTTGTTTGGTAACATAGCTTATCAGCCAATTTTAGCTTGTTTTAGCTGTTGACCAAGTCAAACAGCAAATATGAGTGTTTGGTTAATTAGCTTTTTGTAACAGCTTATTGCTCTAAAACACCCCAAAAAAGAAAAAAAAAAAAAAAAAAAAAAATGCAATTCGAAAAGGTTGTGCCACTTTGATCATAGCAGGTTAGACCTTGAAATGCTAAATGACTTAGCTGGAGGCAGGACATTTCTAATAACAATGTAACCAAATGTATTCCAACATGCCAAGCACTTTGTACTCAGATGGCATGTAGTGACCTCTCCCATATGGGTGGTCATGAGATCGAGCCTCAGTGGAGGCGTTGTTGACTCTTTGTGCTTCAACAGGTTGAGAAAGTATGTATGAACAGATACTATAATGTAATAGAGTCAGTAGCTTTCAAAAAAAAAAATGTATTCCAACATATTCACGCAGCATAATCCAGAAACATTGGCAATTTGGCACTCACCATTGAAGTATGTGTTATATAATAAAGATGTTCCAAATACTTAACTCTTAACATTATCCCACCAAAAGTTCTTTTTTAAATGGTTTAACTTTGTAACTTTGGATTTCACTGGATTATATAAAGTTATACAAACTTCAGTTAAGATTTTGTATAAAATGGAGGGCCCACCCTTATTTTTGTTATTGCATGGACACTTCTCAAGTATTTATATTTAAAAATATATTCTGGATTAGCAAATGGCTTATTGATGGGAAAGCCAGGTCAGTATGTGATACTGCACCATTGTGGCAAAGCCATGCTTATCTTTACCCTCTCCGGTCATTTTAAAGGAAATTTGCTTAGATGATATATATATCTTCATATTTGGCCCATATGCAAAACCGGCAAATTTCTATTTCCATATAATTATCAAGTATGGAACATTAATTTTTGAGTTAATTTCACTTTTGGTCCTATAACTATTGGGGTGTTGTCAATTTGAGTCCACAACTTTCAAAACTAACAATTTAGTACCCTAACTATTCAATTTTTTATCAATTTTAGTCAATCTGGCCAAATTGTAAACCAATTGTCGCCGGAATCTTTTAATTCAGTGTTAAAATGGAAGCTAATTTGTGAACCATTGTTTGAATTAATCCCGAGGCAAGTGGGATGTGGATAAAAATTGGCGACAATTGGCCGGCAATTTGACCGTACTGACTAAAATTGATAAAATTTGAATAGTTATGGTACTAAATTGTTAGTTTTGAAAGTCGTGGACTCAAATTGACAACACCCCTATAATCATAGGACCAAAAGTGAAAACATATTTTGTGCCTACATCTTGAAAACATATTCTTTCAACTAAGTTAAATGGAACTAATTTGTCAGCAGAACAAAATGTCAATATTGGACAGCTTCTAAAAGACACATCTAGAGTAACTTCAGATATAGTCATATTGAAGGTTCATAAGTGTGTCCAGAGAAATTAGAATCTGTGCTTTTTGTGTATTAGACCAAAAATAAAACTTTTTAAAGTTTTATCAAATGCAATAACCAGAAAGCATAAGGTAATCTACAGTCTGAACGAGTGGAATTGAATTATAAATTTCTTTAATCAAATACTACAGCTTCATAATAAAGCATTAATTTCACAATTAAAAAATGGCACGCACAGAAGTCTAACAGTAAAGGATGTTGCCTTTATGAATATGGAAGTATTCGTAAAGACCAAAACTAAGATCTAAAAAATGCATTACCTGCAAAGCCAGTCCATAACCCCCATTTGGATCTTGTTCAAAATATAGTAGCTGAAATTTATATAAAATGTCATTTCAGGATCATAATGCAATGGTATCAAATAAAACCACATGCATGCACAGTTCCACAGACAGAACTCGAAGTTGAGAAATTAACGACAAAAGATATTCTATTAACCACCATGCCGGTAAGACAATTATTTTACCTTAAATTTGCTTTGAGAAGCTGACGTTACTCTAACCACAATCCCTGACTCAGCTTGTTCCTCACTAATTGTTACACCAAAAAAATGGGCATTTTGCTTTTCTACCTGTTTTAAAACTTAACTAAGCAATTAGCATGGCCTAGCGAATTAAACTTTATCCAGCTATTCAGGAAAAATAGAATACAGAATCACCTTAGCACTGCATGATGTTCCAATTGGCAAAGGCCTAATTGTGACAGTTCCATTTAGAGCTTCTTCAAGAACAGTGGCTGAAATAGTCGTCTTGATAGGAACACCCAATTTGCTATTCAGACAAACAAAAAAATGTGACTAATGAATCACGAGATCACTTGAGATATCAACTCTAGGAAAAATCATTACCTAAACAATGCTGCAAACATTGTGTTAACAGTGCCAAGGTTGGATAGATCAACTTCCATATCCATTCCATCAGCATCCAGGGCCTTAATATTTAAATGGCAGATGGCAAAGCAGTTAGAAAATGAGAGATGCTAGAGGGATAACTAAAAGAATAGAAATCAGTAAGAAATTGTAACAAACAAAAAAACAAAGCAAGAAACAAAAAATTGTATTTTCTAGGACTCTTCTTTTCTGCATTACTCTCTCTTCTTCTGTCATAAATTCTTAAGTCATTTACTAATTTTGTGTTGCTTGGCCACAGGTAAAACCGTAAAAGCATAAGATGCATTGAAACTGCATTGCCCCCAAAAGGCAATCCAAAACTAAATAGAAGAATAAAAGAGAACTCCAACCAAAAGTAGGCTAAATGGCATTATTTGGACAATTACAAACTTTAGAGTACTGCTATAAGAAGAAACCACTGCTAATAAAGGTTCTAGACATTCTAGCTCTCATGTAAATAATATAACAAAACCATATCAGTATAGTAAATAAGCAATTTACTACTGTGCCTTCATGCAACACTCTGACATGACTAAATAATTGCACCTTGAGGTAGTTAAAATGAATCACGAGCCAACAAAACACTTTTCAGAAGATCTTGAAGAAATAAAGTACCTCAAATCCAGCCATATCATACTGCCTCCTTTTCTCTGGATCAGATAAAATGCCATATGAGTATGCAACCTCCTTGAAAAGCTCCGAAGCTTCAGGGTTGCTAGCATTTTTGTCAGGATGATACCTACCGCCATTCATGGAAAATAACTGAGTCCATACACATTATCAAATCTGAAAATACTCCAACTCACATATCCCAATCCAACTAAACTGGTATAGTATTTCCCATCCATAAAAAACTGAGTTTATCCTATTGCTCCATAGTCAATAATTCTGAGCTTCAAGAACCAATTGAGCATACTACTAGCACTTAAAACAAAATAAAATTATCTCTAAAAACCAACTTGCCAGAGTATCCACTTAAATCATTTATTTAAGCAACAATTCAGCTTTCAGCAGTACCTAATTCCCCATGATTAACAACAATAAAATTAATATAGCTCTTCAAATAAAATGGAAAATTTCCAGCTTAAATCATTTGGTATAAACCAGAAATTGAAGCTGACTAACACAATTAACTTAAACTACAAAAAGAAAATGCTGAAGAAAGATAGAAAAGGTACTTACTTGAGGGCAAGTTTTCTGTAAGCAGTCTTAATATCCTGATCAGAAGAATCCCTCGAAACAGACAAAACCTCGTAAGGGTCTCTCCGCAGCGCCGGCGTAGACGACCCCTCCATTTTCGAACTACCCATCGGAAGCTCACCGTCCCCTCTAAAACCCTTCCCCGCAAAAAACGCACCTTTAAACACCTGACCGGGAGTCCTACTTTTTCCCTGTCTGCAAATCCACAAGCACAAAGAACTTAATCAAAGATTATTTCGCGAAATTCAGAGCATTGGATCGTGCTTACTTATCCCCTTCTTGGGATTAATGCGAATTCTTGAATAATTAACGGATCATCAAATTTCAAGAAACAAAAGACAAAACGAAGACGAGTAAAGATCTAACAGAGAAATACGAAAAACAGATTGGTCTAACAGAGAGAGAAGAGGCTGACCCTTCCCTTCACTTCTTTCTTTCTTCGCTTCGCGCCTCTGCCGAGAGGGGTCGGCGTGAGTGTGGGGGTGGGGGGCAGTGTACGTGAAAATCAGCTTAATGAGCTCAAAAAAAATAGAAAATCTGATAGAGAATGTCAAACTTTGGAAATTGAATACCCAAAAATATATACTAAAATAGAAATTTACAAAGTCTGGAAAGATTTAAAGAAGAATAAAGCGTTAAAGCAACCTAAGAAAATGAAAAGGAAACCAAAACTAAAGCAATTTCAAACTTTGTAAGTTGGACTATGGATTATGTTATACTATAAAAATAATTATTTTTTTTTCATTTTTTTAACAAGGTGCAACTTATGTATATCATTATATGTATATGTAAATAAATAAATACAGATCGGTACTTGTGTATCTTGCAAATGATAGAAAATCTTAAACTTTTTTCATTAACTTTTGATTGTATCACGTGCAATCAGCATTGCTGTCGATTGACACATGAAAATCTTTCATGTATATAATTGAATAAAATTGTCTTTTTAAATTATTGTATCATAAAAAATTTTATATAAATTATAAATTATATTTGTCACATTATGTGGCTATATATTTCAAGTTTAAACGTAAAGTCATTAACTTTTAATCGCAAATTGTCACTGAATTTTTATATTATGCCGTCAAGGCTTTCAATTTTTATTTTTTATTTTATCTCACAAATTCTTTCTGTATTAATCAAGTTTGTGATGGGCAAGTTTCAACATTTACCTATGAAATGCTACCCTTTTAAATCTATAAGTTTGCATAATATAAAGTGTAAATTTTTTATACTATGATATAATATGTAAATTCTTCTATTAAAATTAGAAGAGCATTAGTTGATTTGAATTTCTAAGATCACAAGGGAATTGACGTATATCATGTTTGTTAACATAGTTAGCTTATTAATTAATTTGACTTATTTGATCACGATAAACTGTTTGACTTGGTTACACAGTTCATATAAGTATTTAATTAATTAAATTTTTGTAACAGCTTATTGTTCCAATTACTAAAATTCAAAAAGCTGCTCAAAGCAACTTTTTCGATCAGCTTTTTGAGAAAGAGTCATTTTGCATGCAATCAACTATCAACTAACAATTAATTTACCAAACATCTTTCTACAATCAACTAGTCAAACTCACTAATTCAATCAGCTAACAGTTATTTACCAAACACCCCGTAAACTTTTTATTTGTTTTGAATTTAAAAGCAAAATGCCGTTTCTACCAAATCATTTTGAATAAATAAATAAATAATTGGAAAGAGTAACATTACCTATTACCTACTACAAAGTAAGCCCCCTAACTTCATTATCATAAGCTTGGTTTAAAAGTCAAATATTATATTAAAAACATAATTATTAAAGTTGACAAAATTTTGGATTTCTACTACTTAATACTCCGTATTAGATATATATATATATATATATATATATATATATATATATATATATATATTAAAAAAAAAAAAAAGCTTATTATTTTTACGGTTAAAAACACGGAAGAGTCTCTATGTATTTTTTTAAAAAAATATATCTAAGATTTTCACGTCGGACCCAGTGACTAATCTATTCGCTGAATTATAGACACCTTTAATGGGTGGGACAACCCAAAGTCAAAGATCGAACTCTTAACGTTTAGTTAAGGAAAGATGAATTTCTTCCACTCAACCACACCCCTGGTTTGAAAAGTCTATGTATATTAACACCCTATAACCCTAACAAAACAGGGCTTCACATTTGCTAACTACTACGAAGTACAATAATGTTCCCAATTTACAACCTAAATTACCTGTTGCAAAGAAACAGCACATTAACAACTAAGCATTACTTTATCCTTCTGTCGATGTGATAACAAACAGGATGACCACAGCAGCATTCCAAAAGTTCAGCTTTGTGTTCCAGGAAAAGGGAGAATAACAGATGTACAAAACAAACCTCAAACTGGAAAAGGTATATGATTAGAGCAATATATATCATTCATCCCACACTTTAGTGTACAGGATAGTATATTCCCTCTTCACTATAGCACCAATTTCTTAGGCCAGAGTGTTGATCAATGTTCTAAGATCTATTGACTTAGGTACAAAAGAAATGAAATTTTGATATATGGAAGACAAAAAATAAAGAAAAAAAAAAGTATTATGGAAAACATTTTCGTTTTAAGACGCAAACTACTAACAGCTCATCGCCTTCTCAACTTGACACTCCTCGGTACTTTTGCTTCAAATTTGTCCAAAAAAGAACCATGCCACCATTACTAAAATGTATTCTCATTGCTTCTACTAGTACCCGTGGAAACTTTTGCTTGTGGTGGGTGGATTTGTACTCTACAGAGTGTATTATCAGTTTTTTTTTTTTTCTGTGGGGGTGGGGGGTGGGGGGGGGGGGGTGGGAGGTTGGGGGTGGGGAGGGTATTGTGTGGACCTCGAGGACTATCATGAGGACGGAGTCCACCTCGAGATTACTCTTACTCTGGTAAGACCATAGAACGCACGCTTGTGATACTGTGTGCAATCCCATTGACACACACAGGACTATCTTGTACAATCAGGACTTGAGTCCACCTTGATTACTCTGGTATTGTAGGATCCACAGAATGCACACTTGTGGTACAGCCAATGAAACCGTGCAGTACCCTTCTTGTCACAATCGTTGCATAATATATCCTGGTTGTGCAGAAATCAAAGGACCTTGAACAATTAGCATTTACACTAAAAAGTCAAAACAAACTGATGTTGTAGATTACTACACAAATGAATGGAAGAGTTGTTTACTTGACAACGGTTTCTAAACTCTTCTGGAAGAATCTCAGAAGCCATTAAAGCATCAAGCATGCCAAAGTACACCTGAAATGAAGTTTAGAAAGGGCTTATTTGTAAAACACAAGGCATTGATGATTTGATGCATCTCTTCCTCCAAACACCCCCCAAAAAAGAGCAGGAAAAAAAAACTAGAGATAGAAAGGAGAGAGAAATAAATAAGACTTTTTCAGTACATTAGATGGGGATGGGGGTGATGGGATAGAAATAAATGAGTTGACATGTTGTACTAGTGATCCATTTTTAGCAGAATTGGAAGTCTTCCATCATGAAAACATAGAACTTTAAATTTTCCTTTAGAAACTATCAAAATGAGTAGAACTTAAAATCATCCAGCTACTATATTAAATTTCTAAAATCCACAAAATACACACGCAAACACACTTCACATTACACATATATTTGGGTGGAGGATGGTTAAACTCAGCTCTTATGTTGAAGTGCATGGTGGGATAATGGAAATAAGATAGGCTCATATTACAAAAAGCTAGATCTTTATTACCCTTTTGTTCACATCAAGTCAAGTGAAAATGTAATAGAAGAACCAAAATGTCAAAAATTAAAAAAATAAAATAAAAAAATGCAGTACACAGATCTCAAAGTAAGCGCATTATATGTACTGAAATAATGAGCAGTCTTACCGACATGTCTCCCATTGACTTGCTGCATATAGGACAGATGTAGTGTGTTCTAGCATATGCCTGAGAAAACAAGCGGATTGTTAATTCCCAAAGGAATAAAAAGTGTAATTGTTGTTGAAAACTAAAGAGTTCGGTTTATCTATAGAGTGGTGTCTGTTTATGAATAGGTGTCAATTATGAATAGTTACTTACAGTTATGTGTTTGTATATATATATGTACTATGTTTCTTTGTTAGAAATATAGACAGATAATATAGAATCATACTAATATATTTCAGTCTTATATACATTTTCTATTCCGTGATTCTTCATCATTGTTTCCGCCTAACTGGCAGGTGGTTGTTATTCTCCAACCGCCAGGCCATTCCATCTTCCAAATTCAACATGGTATCAGAGCCTACTTTCCTAGGGTATTTCAAACATCGCACGAACAGTAAAATTACTGTTCAAGCAAAACCCTAATTTTCAAACCCGAATCCCTTCTACGGTCTCCGGCGAGCCTGACCGAGCAAGCGGCATCGCCTTCTCCTCCGCCACGTGCCTCCACGTGCCGGACTTCCGACCTCACGCGTCGGCGCGTGTAGCCACCTCCGACAGGAACTTCCGTCAAAACTTTCCAGATATTCTTGTCGGGCCTCTACGACTCCATCTGTGTATTTTTCCTTGTGATGTATTTCTCCGATGAAAATTCCAAATTGTTGTTTTGCCCTTGGACCTTTTGGTGAAGTTTGAAGGCTTTTTGGCTTTGTTGTCAAACTTCTTTCCGGGGTGCTTTTGGTATAACCGTATTTGTTTCTTTATTTTCGGTATACCATATTTATTCCCTAGGGCTGTCAAATTTTGCACCTTTTTTTTAATTTCCGGAAGCCTCTTTTGATATTCACTTATCCTATAAGGGGTATAAACAACAATCATTTGGTGTTCTCGGTATTCATACTTTATTCTTTGGGTGTACTTGTCATTACTATGGGCTCTACTACATCCCCTTTGTTGCTCATGATTTGTTTGCTCTGCCGTTGTTGATGAAGATTGTTGTTGGCAAATCCTAGAGTGCTTATGTTGCTATGAGGGTGTTTGTGACAAGCTTCGCCCATGGTGCCTTCATTCCCAAGGGTTGTGTATAGCATTGTCCTTCCAAAGCCATCCAGCACTGTTATTCTCTAGTTGCTTTTAATCTTCATTTGTAATTTAAAGTAAGGTAGAGTGTATGTTTTAATCCAAACTTGGAACTTCCAATGTTCAAGCTTGAGGGGGAGTGTTGAAAAATAAAGAGTTAGGTTTATCTAGAGTTATGTCTGTTTATGAATAGGTGACAGTTATGAATATTTACTTACAGTTATGTGTTTGTATTATATAATGTACTATGTTTCTTTGTTAGAAATATAGACAGATAATATAGAATCATACTAATATATTTCAGTCTTATATACATTTTCTATTCCATGATTCTTCATTATTGCTTCCGCCTAACTGGCAGGTGGTTGTTATTCTCGATCCGCTAGGCCATTCCATCTTCCAAATTCAACAGTAATGATAAAAGGCCAAAGGAGGCCCAGCAGAATAGAAGGGAACAAACCTGAAAGCAAGCTGAATGCATAAAATGGCCACAGGGAAGAGCTCTCACAGTTTCACTTGATGTGAACAAAAAGTCACAACATATAGGGCAGTTGGTTTCAAGACCTTTCTCCCGGCATTTGTGGTCCACAAGTTTCATTCCCAAACAACAATTGCAGGTCATGCAATGAAAGAAGTCGACACCAAGTCCACTACCCAGCCGGCATAAATTGCAAAATGGGCAATGATAGACTGTCCTGAAGTAGTAAAAATTTAAATGAAAATATATTAAGTGAATAAAAACAGAAGGGTTATCATATCTCAACATCAATTACTGTTACTAAATTGAACTTTCATGAACAAACCAAAAGATGAATCTAATAACAGAAGAACAAATTAAAAATTATTTAGGAAATTAAAAAAGCACAAAAGTAAAAGATCACCTCAGATACCTTTACCGAAGAGAAATAATGACGTTTAATAGGATGGTTTGCAGAAAGTGACTCAGTGAGTGTACTTTGAAGGACAGTAGAAGTTCATCTTCCTAATATCTTTCAATGACTAAAGGCCATAAATGGTAAAGAAAAAGGAGCTTACCTTTCGTCATCAAAAAATTTACAGCTACTGCAATAATATTTTGCCATCAAAAGTCCATCACAAGATGGAGTCCTGCACGCGGGGCCAACTGGTTGTATTTGAAGACATCTCATGCACATCATTTCAGTGGTTGCCTTTCTGCAATAAAAAAGATAGTTATATTTGGAAATAATTTTTATTGGGTACTTTGTTTGATCCACTAAAGTTACCTATCCATAGAATGGTCGCTAACTTGGTCATGACAGAACCTGCATGTAAACAGTTTTCCACAACAGGAAGCACGAAGCTTGCAGTTTCTTTTGTAATGTTCACAACCAAAGACTTGTTTCTCTGGATCACGAAACGATGGAAAACATCCAAATTGATCATCGCCATCTGAAGTTTTACCAGTTCCTGCTTGGGGCAACTTCTGCTGAGAAGCTATCCAGCGACTAAACAACAAATACCTTGGATGAAATAAGTTGAAAGTGCAAGATTCACAATAATTGATAAAAACTCCAATAGATAGCTAACATGCACAGACCTGGTCATGAGATTTTGAATGAGATAAGCTTTTCTTCTTGGATCAAGAGATGAATCCCGAGAGACCTTTCTTATCTCCGATTCAAGCTCATTTTGATTCATTCTGAAGATATCTTTCCATCCAGGCTTAAATGTACCATCACTTTGGTCCAGAGATTCATGTAAATCATAACCTGAAAAGGTGTTATTTAAAATTTCCAAAAATAGAGACCTTATAAAATTTGCTTAAACATCTATCAATGACTCAATGTGCAAGATTTCACTTGAAGATTATCTTAACAATGAAAAGAAAGAAAAGTGCTGGAAAAAACCTTGTGATATACAGTTTTCTGATATATTTGCCTGTGAACTTTCAGGTGGAGAGCCCTCCCACCACTCATTCAGCCATTCACTGAACATTGTATTTTTAGTTGCTTGCTTCCATGTTTCCATCATTTTGTTTTGCTCTTCCTGAGTAAGAGCTGCAGTCACCCAGGGCAACATTGATTGGAGAACCTCTGCTCCAGTAGTTCCTATAATTCGACCAACTAGTTTATCTTGCTCCTCAACAGTAAAATGTGTGTCAAACAGTGGCCAGAGTTCAACCTCTTCACGTAAAATATGTTGATCCAGAGTAACTTTCATGGACTTGCACATTGCTTGAATTTTTGTAGCAAGCTCATTGTATTTTCTCAAATTATCATTCAGGTCATAAGAGTTAGAACTGTCAATACTAGGATGTCCTGTAAATGTTCTGTTACCCAAGCTTCCATGGAGCAGAGAAAGTTCAGCAAGTGCAGATGAAATGTCCTCAAATAGTTTTTCTTCCTGCTTGTGATCCAGGGTGTAAGAATGACTAACATTATGCAGAGTCTCTTTCGATTCTAATGCGGGGAATACTATGTCGTCCTCAGCATTACTATGAGCTTTATACAAGCCCCATAAGAGACGAAATCTACCACCAAATTGCCTAAAAAAAGTCTCATTGCAATCAACAAGTTTCCCAGATTCAACATCCAGAAATTCCAAATCTTTGCGTATTGCTTTATGAAATTTAAATATATTATCAATTGGCCGTGTTGCATGCCCATTGTTGTTCAAGCTGTAATCATTTTCCCAGTTGAAGAGGCAAGAGTTAAGAGAAGGAGCATTAGTGCCAAAAGACAAAGAGCGCAAAGATTTCACTGTAGCAAGGGAATTGATTATCAGGTTGTTGCTGCTTACTCCTAATCCAGGGACACAACAAGACTGATTACTAGAAGATACTTTATGAAGTTTTCCTGTTCCAGAAGGATCACATCTCTCTCCTAAAGTAGAATTTGAACATCGTTCATGGTAATCTTCTTGGGCATATGAGAAAGATTCACTTCTGGCACAAAAACATCTGCCTATAAAATCTTGATTTCCTGACAGTATTTCATCAGGACAGCAACCTGTTGCATTAGAAGACAAGCAAGTATCTCCTGTACGGCCTTTGCATGCCCAACCAGTGAAAAGTGTTACCAACGCAGTGTCTGATGCCGGAGCTGCATCAGATACAAAATGAGAAAGGCAACGTGGATCCTCTTCAACAAGGCATAATAGTAATAGATACTAACTAAAGAATGGTAAGAAAAAAACACAGTACCTGCCATATGCATATTGTGCAGAAAAGACCTTGCATCCTCCTCATTTAATGATCCTACTAACCACGGTAAGACGCATTCAATCAGTCTAAGTGGCATCACACACAAGCTCTGATAAAGCAGTTCCCGCTGCCTTTTTGGGCTAAAATGTTTCCGTGCAAGTGGAAGAACCTATTGCAGGTGTAGTGACAAAATTTTAACAGAAAAGATACAGAGTAATTAATTTTGAATTTCAATTTTAAAAATCAAAATGGACAGGAAAAAAAAAATTATTATTGATGCAAGAAGGAAAATATCACCATTTGTAAACGGTTTTCTATGGAAAAGAATATCTTAATAGATAACAGAGAACTCATAGTCCATAGATAAGTCATGCTTTCTCTTACAGCCTTCAGAAACAGTTATGAGAGGAAACTTATCTATCTTTTGGAAAACTTGAGCTACAATACACCAAAAGTATGTAAGCAGCAACAGACAATCACTCACCTGAACTTCCTCATTGTGGAAGTGCTTCTCTATTATCTCCATTATATGATCAGCATGAGAGCATAACTTTGAATAAAATTCAGTAGAAGGTGAGTTAGCTCCAGCACTCTGAATGTTTTCTATGAGGCATCTGAGCTTACCAAACTCATTTTCTTCTTCTGCATGCTCCTGGGCAAAAGACAACTCTGTGTCTACAGTAGGGAATATAACTTTGTCCTCAGCGATGCTGCAGTCGGACAGGATAAGCTCAGAGATAGGAAAGCATAATGCTATAAACCATCATTAGGAGCTTATCATTTTGACAGAAAACAAAATTGCCAATTTTGCATTAAACAATGCACATGGAAAAGTGTGAAAACTGGGGCATATGCAGCATTGAGGCAAGTCAAAGAGAATAATTAAAATATGAATTTGCAAATAAAAGAAAAAGGCAAATACTCTTATATGGAAAGAAAAATGTCAAAAAATGGAATAGAAGTGTTGTAATATATATCGCTGTGGTACTAGACACACAAATATACAAAGATTAAGACTTCTGGGTTCCCTACCTAGGTCAGAGCACATAAATGGAGAGTTGGGTGGTAGAATTCCAACCCTTAGTATTTGTCCACAAGGCAAAATGTTTTTTTCTTCGTCGTTGTTTACTATCATGCAAATGGTTTCTGATAGGATAAAAAATAAAAGGTTCATATTCCATGAAAGGTTCAAATATACATAAATTAAGATTTCTGGGTTCCCTAAATTAGCTAAGGTGAAAGCACATAAATGGATACTATCATGCAAAACCCTTAGTATTTGTCCACAAGGCAAAATGTTATTTCTTCTTTGTAGTTTACTATCATGCAAATGATTTCTGATAGGATAAAAAAATAAAAGGTTTAAATTCCATGAAAGGATGATCGAGATTGTATTTGCAGGAAGCAAGTTCAACTTGGCTTGGCTTATAGGGTAAAAGCTGCATACTGAATACAGATGACAGATTCCTAATATAAAAGTTTAAATTGAAATCCAAGATACAGAAAGAAGAGTACCTGTGAAAAATGCAAACCTCAGCAATAAATTGAAGCCTTTGGTTGAAGGCAGACAAATCAGAAAAATCTCCAGACAAAGTTATCTTCCTGGCAGCTTCAGTTATGTCACTCAGTTCCATTTTTATAGCCTTGTGCCAATGCAATATCTCATCTATTGGACAATCTAGAGTGGATACTGTATTGCAACTCAAAACAGGACAATCTCTTTTAGCACTCCTAGAAGATTTACAAGGACATTTGCCATTCCCCTTTGGCACAGAATCTGAGGCAGTGTGGTGATTCAATTGATCTTGACAAGTCTTACGTTTTTTATTGTTCTTTTGCCCATCCATCCATGTGAAAATAATCTTCCAGAAAAAGGAATTAATCAGTTGTACAATTACAATAGGCTGTAAACTTCAGCGGATGAACAATATGCACTGATGTTAAACCCACCTGTTGAAGGAGCTTCTCATCCGGAATTACTTTGTGTAAGAACTTACGCATATCATGACACTCATCAGATGAAATAGAGGATGATAGCCAAGGCAGAAATTCAGCCATCATATTAACAGGAATGCTGCATAGGAACTGCCATACCAGTGATGCCTGTTCTTCAAATGAGAATTTTTCAATAAGCAAAGGGAAGACCTGAAATCAACAGCAAGCCAAGATGCTCAGTAACACTAAGATACATGTACAAATAAAAAAATAAAATAGATTTTTAAAAAACACTGAAAAGGAAAAAGAAAAAAGACATAATGAAATCTAAAGAAGTTGTAAGACTATAGGTTTGAGGCCCAGCTTAACTATAAACTTCAAAATACAATCTCCTTGATTCCAAAATAATTTAGCAAACTTTTATAAGAGAATCAAATCTTTTATAAACGTAAAAATTTTGCATCAATAATGTGCAACCATAATTTCCTTATTTCTAAATTCATACAGTACATAATAGTTTCAGTTACTTGTTCTTCCAGAAAATAATTTGAGTTCACAAAAACAGAAAGGTAGAACAATAGACATAGAAGCAAATATAGTTAAAACTTCCAGATCAACTCTGGTGTAGCCAATCCATCCTGCTTCCATTACGCAGATACAGAACTGGGGAGAATGTATCAACCAGAAGTCTACCTGTGTAATATGCAAACAACAGGGGATTTGACTGTAATGAACAGGGAAAATGGAAATGACTTAAATGATGTGTTCCACACTATAAGCAGAATCCATGCCTGATGAACTTATGTTACAAGCAATGAAATGAGGCAAATTATATAGTATCAGTGGAGTAAGAAAAATGCATAATAATAATGGAGGAATAAGATTTGAATGACACCTTCCACATTTTCAGCAATATCAGTGCCTGTTAAACTTATTTTATAAATAAAAACAAATTGTACAATATCAAGGGAGTAAGACTGAAACCAAATGAACCAGCAGTATTTATGCAATTATAGCCAATTGAACTTTCATTACGGGAAGAAAATTCTGTGTTGTATCAAACAGAATATGAAAAATGTAGAACATCAATGGAGTAAAACTTAAATGGCACCTTCCACATTCTGGGCAAATCATTAGAAATACATAGCTGCAAACACCCAATCGGATTACAATACAATAATGTCAGAATAAAAATTCCTTGTAACCTAAACACCATTGAATTGTAATTTGAACAATCACCGATAAAGCAATCGTAATATGAACGTCATGGTACTATAATATGTACACAGCTACATGCACCATGGCCTACGGTATAATAACTGTACATTCTGAAATCCATTTATGCCCTGTTGTATTTACATTACAACAAGCAAATGTAAAATATCAACAGAGTAAGACCAGAGTGACACAGCTCCACATCCTGAACAGTATTTACCCGTTGAACTTAGTTTACCACAAGCAAAGTGTATAACATAAACAGAGTAGGAATTAAATAACTCATTCCACATTATAAGCTCTATTTATGTGTGTTGGACTTATGTCATAATAAGCAAAATATAATCAATGCACAAATAAATAAGAATGCAGAACTGAAAAGTTACCTGCTCCTCTTCCTTAGACATGTGCTGGCAAATGGACGTTAGAAGAGCACCAGAACAGGAAGCTAACTCTCTCCGATAACTTTCTTCATTCTGCACATCAGAATCTAGCAATGCGAACAATTGATCAAAAAGAACACTTTCTCCCTCATGTTCAAGGGAATAAGTCCTTGCGACATTCTTCACACGGATGTCAAGTGCTGGAAAAATAACCTGCATTCTCAAAAAATAAATAAAAGAGTTAAAACTACCCTACCTAAGTTTAATAGACTAGAATGACTTAGGAGAAAATCCATCTTTGACTGAATGCATCTTTTGGACTCCAATTATTTGGCGCTTTAGAAGACATTGTAAGTGCAATAATCCAAAACATATATCAAAGCTGTCATATCACTAGGTCTGCTTATCATTGTTTGTTTGTGCCAACAGCCTACTAAAATGTAATGCATAAAAATATTTCGAAGTTGGTTTCAAAACAAATAAATATAATAATATTTCGAAGTATATCTATCTCTTTGAAATCAGATCATTTATTAATTTATAGGCATATATAAGTTATAACACTTATTCTGATAGGAAATTGTATAACAATTTGCAAACTTCAGTACCATTTATTTTCTCATCTCTCCTTATAGGTGACATAAGGTTTGGTCTGGGTTGTGACATTAGCAAATGCAGCAAGTAAGTCCATTTTCACACTAAAAATGTGGTAACACAAAACACATGATTCCTACTTTCCTTGGTTTCTGGACAACAACCACCAGCACACAAAGAAAATGAATCCTAGTTTTAATTATTTTCTTCTTTAGTTTCATCCCCAAGTCAGAATAACCTACTGCATCATACTAAAAATGCCGCAAACCACATAAATTTGTTCCAACTAACCACATAAATTTGTTCCAACTCCGAACTAATCACGCAATCTGCTTTCAAAACCTCACTATGTTGTGAATTATAATCTCTAATAAACTAATTACAATCATATTAGTATTAACATTAACAACAATCCATCACTACTGACATAATGTAAAATCATAAAACATCAGTATTTCGAATCAATATTTCTTCTTTTTCAAGAAAAATAAAAGGCAGCATACATGATATAAAATCGCCATAGTCAAGCTTAAATATCCAATAACTAAAGCAAATGAATATCCAGTGCAGAATTGTACAAATACTACACACCTCATCCTCCGCATTGCAGTGGTGCTTATAAATCGACCTCAAAAAGTGACACCTTTCCTGCAATGGCTTAATATCACTGTTCTGATTCGTCGCCAAGTCCATCGCCGCCATGTGGAGCCCACCCAGCTCGGCCCGAATTGCTTTGTGAAAGAAGAGGAAAATCCGAATCGGTGACGAGCCATTCACGCCCAGCGCCTTGTTTGCCGGCCCGGAGTGATCCATTTGGCCCACAGCCGACCCGGCCGCCATCACTGCTACGCCGCCGTTCTGTATCCCCGTTGTTAATGGCGTCGCCATTCCCACTCTATTTATCTTCACCGTGAAAGCATAAGAAAAAAAATTAAATCAAAATTCAACTTCTTCTTTTTCGCCTTTTCAATTGTGACTTTCAGATTCAGATTTCATAAACCGTATCCTCTGTCTGCAAGTAGCCCTGCCTTCTCTCTCTACATTGCCCTCTGTTCATATGTGATATATATACATAGATACAGCTATCTACCCCTTTCTCTCTCTGTATGTATAGATAGATAGATGGCTGATTTTCCGTTGCTGAATGTTCTCTCTCTCTCTCTATCTCTACAGGAAGAGCGCAAATTATCTTTCACCTTAACGAGTCAGTTTGAATTAAATATTTAGGTCCAATTTTATATTTTATATTTATCTTAAAAAGTAAACATTTTCTTTAATTATGAATTATTATTTTTTATTTGAACAACTTTTGAAAGTATACATTATTCTTTTTTGGTGACGAGAAAAATCACAACTATAGAGTATTAAGTAAATTCTAATCTTGTATAATACCTAGCAAACATCCACAAAAAAAGAGGTAGCAATATTTGACAAACTCAACCGAGATTATGTTTCAATTAAATTTTTTGATTGTTTAAACTTTAATTACATTTTAAATAAATAAAATAAAATAATGTGATAATAATTTATAATTTTTATAATTTATTAAAATTAAACAGTCTATTTTATTACTGATATAAATGCGTTGATAGGAATGGGTATTGCTCCACATAGGAAGGATAACGGGGTGACAAAATATGGTTGTACACGTGGCAGTGGGGATTGGAAAGATGTTGAGGTGGCAATATGGACCACGTCAGAGGGATGAATGCGGTTTGTCGGATTGCGAATGGCGCGTGAGGGAAGGGGTAGACACGTGCGCGAATGAGGAGTGAGATTTGCCATATGGGATTGATGGTAACGGCGTGAGTGACGGAAGCGAGTCAAATTGTTTGGAAATTTTCTGATTTGGCTGACAAAAATAGTATAGTTAATCACACTTTAGATCCTCATGAAGATTGCAGATTTTAAAGAATAGTAAAATTAATTCATTAATTATAGAAGTGATATATTTCAATTCATTAAACATATTACTATCATTTATATTTTATTTTTTACGTATTTCAAAAAATGTTTATTGTTCTTATTTTTCTTTTTTATTTTAAATCTCAACCAATTAAAACTTGTCGCATCAGGGAGTGGCAAGTTTATGAGTGGTAATATAAGGGCATCTAGAATGGTCCTTAATATATAGAAGTGACCCGCATGGGAAGCTCAACTGGTCACAGAGGTGAAACTTTGGAAGAATGACCAGGGATCGAGTGTCACCAGCGGCAGTGGCGGCAGTGTGGGAGCAACCTCTCAAAGTGAGGGGGTTCCTTGTGCGCAGTGAGCACCGGTCTAGCCTCTGTGGTTCATGTTCAGTTGAGTTACCATGATTTACATCCTCCCAAATGCTCTGTCGGGTCGGGGTGTGGGGGACTCTTAGGGTTGGGGTTCAGCCTTTTGGAATAATATATAGAGGTGGAAAAGTTTTTGTCACATTAATTTATAATGATTGGATAAAATTGAATTTTTTTTTACACTAATATACATGGTTTTTACTCACTTACAAGCATGATTGCAGTAGGCGCTAGTCGGGCGGTAGAGTAACGCCTAACGCCTAGACGGGCACCTATGCGACTAACTTAGAAAAAAACAGTGCACATGTGTGGATATATATATATATATATATATATATATATATATATATATATATATATATATGGTCGTACTCCTGTGCGAATAGATCATGTCATTCACGTGTCTAGATCAATAAATCAGATGTAATTTAAAAAAAACAACGCGGTGGCATTTTTATAAATAACTCGAACTTTGGTACATGTAATTATGTAAATGTGTTATATGTGCAAGTAGTTGGTGCACCTTTGCAAGTAAAAATTACAGGTAAAATCACTTACATGTGCACCTACTTTCACCTATAAGTGCATGTAATTTTGACTTGTTAACATTCATTGATCTGAGTTCGTTTTGTTTGGCATCGCTTTTGTTCTTGCGAGGAGTTCAACGAGTAGTTAGTACCCGTAAAATCACCCGCAACCATTCCTGCATCTATGTGCAACTACTTATAATTATATGTGCACCTAATTATAACGTCAGGTGCACGTAGTTTTGATGATCAGTGTAAATTTTACTTGCATCTATAATACATTTTACATGCACTTGTAATACATTTTATTTGCACTTAGGTGCACTATATGAAACTACTACTTGCACTTGTAATACATTTTACTTGCACTTCGATGTCCAATTATTTACAAAAATGTCACTGCGTTTTTTTTTTTAATTAGTGTTTCTCATCTATTAGATCTGGTCATGTGCATGGACAGCAGTCATCCCTATTTCGCTCCGGGGCAATCCATTCTCATGGGAGTGTAACTCTCTCTCTCTCTCTCTCTCTCTCTCTCTCTCTCTCTATATATATATATATATATATATATATATATATATATATATATATATATATATATATATATATATATATATATATATATATATATATATATATATATATGTATGTATGTATGTTCAGGTGCGGTGGACAGCCCCAGGTGCAGTTGTGCGGTTAAAACAGAGCCATTGATTATGCTTAAATCAACGTCCAAGATTACCAAAATTATATTTAAAAAAAAAATGCGGTGACAATTTGATAATTTTTGCACCTAGGTTAAAATTAAGGTGAGTGATTTTGTGATTAAGGTGCGTGAATTTTGTATATAAGGTGCCTGAGTCTTGTGCATAACGTGCGTGAGTTTTATGCTTAAGGTGTGTGGAGTTTGTGCTTAATGTGAATAGTTGTTAAAACTTAAAGTGCGTAGGCTTTGTGCTTAAGATGCGTGACATTTGTGCTTAAGTGCGTGGGGTTTGTGCTTAATGTGCGTGAGTTTGTGCTTAAGGTGCGCGGGTTTTGTGCATAATGTGAGTATTTGGTAAAACTTAAAGTGCGTGGGTTTTGTGCTTAAGGTGCGTGAAATTTGTGCTTAAGGTGTATGACTAAGCCAATCGGGTTAACTCGGCTAACTCGATCGAAATGGACGAATTAACTCGGTCGAGTTAGGCACAAGGCGAACGCCTAGGGAGAAAATCGTCACGGTTTAAGAGCGCCTAACGCCTAAGCGGGCACCTAGATTGATTTTTGCGACAGTGTTACAAGTAGAATAAATATAATAATTCATGAAGTTTACATTTTAATACATTTAAAACGTCACATTTTTAAAAAATTTTAAAAAAAAATTAATTGCTAGTTACATAAAATTTAATCATATCTCTGTATTCAAAAAATAATAATACAAAGCATTTTAATCAAAGTTAATTTGAATGAATTGAAAATCTATCCATTTTTTTCAATTCATTTTGACGTATGCATTAGTGTTCATGAGAATTTTGTGAGAAAAGTAAAAATGATAATAATAATTATGATGTTGTAATAAATGGGAGAGTTATAGTTAGGCATGAAAATCCAATGGAGGCACATGGTGGGCATGCGAGGGATCCGTGTCGTCACAAGCTTATTGCCTCCTAACTTCTGGTAGTTCTGGGTCCCACCAGCTTGCAACGTGTAATTAACTGTCTGCCTTAATCAAAACAGATAAGGGCAATCACATTTGGCACTTGTTGAATTTGATGTTGATTGGAAACAGTGTGAAGGTGACTCGGATTTAAGTAATTAGCCATTTTGTATATAAAACGCGGTGCGTGTTACAATATGCGCCCAGATGCAAAACGACGTTGTTTTAATTTTTTTTTTTTTTGAAATTTCCCGCCTCAGTGAATGGCAGTAGTTTTTTCTTTTAAAAAAAATCCGCTGTTCAATAATGTACATAATGTTATACTAGAATACACATAATCGTATACATGAATGTACATAATTATATAACAAAATATACATACTCTTTTTAAAAGACAATACACATAATCTAACATAATACATAATAAACATAAACTTTTAACATAATACACATCAACTATTAACATAATACACACAAATTTTCTGATTCGGATGTACATAATTGTATAAAAAGAATTTACATAATTGTATAAAAAATGTACATAACTGTATGAACCAATACACATAACTGTATGAACAAATACACATAACTGTGTGAACAAATACACATAATCCAAGCAACTTCCTACCGCGCCTCCCAAAACGACCCCAAAACGACGTCGTTTTGGGAGGCGCGCGGCGCACAATGCTATGTGCGTCGTGGTGTAGGGTATAACGATTGATAAAACGCGCGAAAATTTATGTCCAATATTAAAATATAAATAATTAAAATTTATAATTCAAATCATATATACGCAAATGATATATGTATTATATATATACCTATATGATTTATCATTTATGAAAATTTAATTAGAATATAATCAACAATTAAATTAATTATATAATAATTTTAATAAAAAGATAATTAAATAATAGAAAAAAATATGATAGATATAAGTGTATGATAATAATGAATAATGGAGTCATAATTAAATAGTAACTGAGTTATAACGGTGTAATGTTAGTTTTATGTAACAAGAATGTAGTAGGGACAAGTTTGTTTAATAAAATTAAAATGTGCAACATTTAAAGTAAAATTCTGATCTACCTTTATTATCATACAAAAAATATATATAAATCAAGGATATAACTTGGATTGAGACTTATTTTCTTTTTAGACATTGAATCTTTTGCACGAGAGTGAAAATACATATGAAAAATGAATTTGTTGGAAATATTTATTTTCTTCTTCTCCCAAAAAATATTTATTTTCTACCAGTATTAACAATGAACCAGTGATGCACACCAGAGCATACAGTGGTCAGGAAAGTTCAAACCGTCATAAGAATTTAAAAGATGAGAAAATTATTCTCACACTTGGTGCAATATTTGATTTAGAAAAATTCGGATCAATGAGAATCCAATTAAATTAAATTCACCTATGGAATCTAAAAGGTTCGGACTCCTATTTTATAAAATTAGGAACAGTGGTACCAAATGGGAAGCCAATGACTCTTAAAAAATTCAACATAAAAAGGTAAGAGAACTACACGTGTTTGGATTCTTATTGAAATTTCTGTACGATACATAGGCAACTCAATATTGGTAATGATGTGCAACGCCAATAATAGCTTAGGGGCGAAAAGTGAACACAACCAATACTTACTACTTATAGACGAATATTATAACTTATGAACGAAAAGTGCAATTTTCCCTTATTATTATTTTTTTCTTCTTTACAATTCTCAAATATTATTTAAGTTT